CTTTTTTTTTTTTGAAAGAATAATAATACATTGAGTATGATGATAGCTAAAATATTTCTCAGTTATTTTGAATGATTGCTTGACATTTTCAAATTTTCAAAGTTTGCTAGCTTCAATTTCATTTTCAAATTTATACATTCCAGCAACTTTCAAATTACTTCAATTTTTTTTTTTTAAATCAACTTCAATTCATTCTGCTCTCACTCCCAAACTCTCTCATTATGGCTTCTTTTACCTACGATGATGAAGAGTTAGATTGTAGAAGTGGCAGTAGTAGTGGACAATAGTAATGGTCATATAGTGGTCATCTCATCTCATCTCATCGACACATTCCAACCGTTCTTCCTCCTACCTACCATTTTCATCATCCTTTCTAAAATTCTTCATCATTCATCATCATCCTTACGTTTCATATAAATTGTCCCATATCAATATTTATTTGAACAATTATGATAGTAAAACAGTAAGAGGAATTTCGCATGAAAGATTAGTGAAATTTTTAAAATTCATAAAGAAAGAGAGAGAGAGAGAAAGAGAGAGAGAAAGAGAGAGAGGAAGAGAGAGGATTCATGTTAAAAAGATTTCAATGAATAATGGTGTTATTGGAATAGTGATAGCAAATTGCGCCAATATTAGGATTTAAGAAATGGAAACAGTTGTTCGAAATTCTTCAAACTGTATTTCAGGGTGGGAAATTTAAAAATGAGATGGTTTAATTTGGTAGGCGTGAGCAAACTTTTCATACATTCATGAAATCATCCGATCATTTCTTTGTTTCAATTTCCAGTTCTGCTACGTCACATTTCTGTGAATGAGAAATTTATTAATAGATATTTATGGAATTAAATTTTGCTTCTATGTAATATTTTCAGTTACCGATCATTTATTTTAATACAATTATTTGAGTAAGCAATACATTAAATTACGGATTAATTATTTTAATTTTAACTATCAAGTAATGCTAATTATAACTTATCATTACGCAATTAAAAAGTAAGTAATTCGTTTGAAAATTTCATGTAATTAAGTACAATTATTTTGACAGGTTGCATCTGAAGAATGACTATGTTTGAATGGTTTAATTGTGACAAATGCGCTAAATTAAACAACTGCATAGTTGTTTAAAAAAAAAAAAAGGAAAAAAAAAACAAATTTGGTTAGGCGATAAAAAAAAGAAAAAAGAGGCCTATTTTTAATATAGTGGAATGTTTCATTTCAGGTTTATTTTAGGAATATTGCAATTTCTTCTGAATAATCTTACAAATAAATTTAAAATTTTAGCACAAAATCTGTCATCTAAACTTGTATTTATTTATTTTTTTCTATTCCTTAAAATAAAGATTATCGTAAAAATTATCTTAAATTAATTCTGACAACTATAATCGTCTTCGTAATCATTTCACAATAATGCATTTTTTTTTTCCTTCAACCGTTTTTTCATCCTTCATTTCATCTTCTTCCATTCTTTTCTAATTCTTGATCTCGTACTTGAACCTTTTCATCACAATTCAAAAATCCGGCAGTATTTGCGACGCATAAAGTTATGTCACATAAAAATTAACGTTTCTGTTTTTGAATATTTTCTTTTTTTTAATTATACTCGATTTCATTGCTTTTCTAACTTTTATTTAAATATGAATTTGATTATATATAGAGCATAAAATACAATTGTTATATTTTTTCAAACAATTCAACTCTTTAAAATTTCAAATTGCATTTTTTTTTTTCAATAACCGAAATTTTCAATTTCATACTCATCTTCAACTACAGTCAAAATTTCAATTCTAAATTTTTCTTTCATTACAATCTCAGAATTTAATTTCAAAAAAGAAATTAGCTCCGCTGTCATCGTTTCATTTTTCTCCCAATACAATGAATGTGCTGTTTGATTTTGTGCAAATTTTCATACTCTCTCATCTTTGTTGTCTATTAAAAGGCTAACAATTTGTTTGAGCATTTTTGGATGGTAAATTTCATTTCTTACAGATTATCAAAGGCTATTTTGATGTTCCATTATTCTTCAGACTACTAATTCAAAACTAATCATTATCGTCTATGAATTTTGTTATCATTTCTTTTTTTTTTTTTGCCAATATTTTCCTCTTCATTTCAATTCTAAAATAACAACACAAAGTAAAATAAGCACCATTGTTTCTGGAAAAAAATCTTAAATAAATTAGGGAAATGTAGAGAGTAACAAATTTTAAATATGCACACTGAAATTATCAGTTACCTCTAATTATCAGATACAATTTTCAAATTATCAGATACAGTTATTTTCATATATTCATGGTGGAATGCTCTTACATCATCATTAATTGAAGGCAATCATCCAAAAGACGCAAATAAGATGGATTTGACATTATCAAAATCACATTGATGACATCACATTCTATTTTGCAACACTAATTCATTCACTCAAATAATATTTCCTTTCTCCCTTACATTTCATTCACTTTTATTTATCTTTAATAAATGAAAGAAAAAAAAAATCCGTTACAGTAATTTTTCGAATGACCTCAATGACCTTAGTTAGTTAAAATTGCAATCCAATAAGCAATGAATGTGATAAATTTACATTAATTCATCGTTTCATTTTCTTTCAATTATTATTTAGCACATTTTAATACGCCGTTTTAACCTATCGTCATAATCATCATTCCTCCGATTCACAATCATATGTAATATTTCAAAATTTTCGCGAATTATGATATTATAATTGAGCAAATGGAGATGGCATTTGAAAATGTGTTGAAAATGATTTGTTAAAATAGTTAAAATTAAAGTTTATCAACAATGTCAACCCATTTTCAATGATATTAGTTAATGATGACATATATACGCATTACCTATTTGATTAATAATCGTTCGAAGAATTTCATTTAATTTAATTTCATCAACATATTCAAAAAAAGAAAAAAAATGCTTACTACAGTGAACAAAGTATTTTAAAGAACATATATATTTGTAATAAAATATCACAAATTTCTTTCCTTCCACTTCATTTTTTTTCCTTTCACCTTTCAACTCATTTTCAAATACTATTAATTTTCCAACGAAGTATAAATTTGAAATTCTAATTTAATATACAAAATTTATTCATTTTGTCTATAAGATTTGTAAAATTCTAACTTTTATTTGAAACATTTTTTCCTTTTGGAAAATGCTTTCTTCAAACATTCATGTTCATTTTAATCAGTAAAATGTATTACTAAAAAATTATAGCTTTAGATTGAAATTAACTTTTAATCTTAAACATAAATTATATCAAAAGGAATAACTATCGCATACTGAGGCTATCAAATAGTTCATTTAGTTCGAAAATATTTTAAAAAAATGAAAAAAAAAAGGAAGAATATAAGAAATAAAAAAAAAAACGAAAAATTTACTTCTGTATAAAGTAAATATTACATTTTTTTTTTCAATTCATTGCGATTTTTTTCAAGAGGAAATTCATTCTGTTCTTTTTTTCCCTCTTCTCTTTTTCAAGTAATTTATTGGTCAGACAAAAAAAAAAAAAACGAAAACCAGATTAATTTTTAAAAATTTTCAATTTACTATGTAAACTTTATATATTCATCTATTGATATTATTTATTTATGTCTTAATTTATTTACTTATTTAGTTATGCATTTCCATTGGCAATTTTTTTCCATTTTTTTTATTCTTTGTTAAATAAGAGTAAAAGAAATTACAATACTACGACACTACTACTAGCACTAATACTATTAGTGATACTAATTTCATTACAACCACAATCATTTTATATTTTACTTTTATAGTTACTCCTACAAATATTAATAGCAATTACGAAATGATTATATTAAAGCTATGAAATATTTCTTTTTCTACATTAAAGCTATGAAATATTTCCACTTGCTTACAGTTTTATTTCGTATTTTGAAAAATTTTCGACTATTATCAGCAGCACGTTTGGTTTTTTGTAATTTTGTTGTGATAAATTTAATTTTGATAATTGTGAAATGAACATTTGTGGAAAAATTTCACTGACAAATTATTCTAAAAATAGATCAGATATTTTAGTTGGCTAATTCTTTTTCTTTTCTAATTTTAATAAACGATTTTATTTGCTATTTGGTAAGCTTTCTAGGTTTTTGACTACCTTTTAAATGTTAATCGATTCTGTAGGTCTTTTGAAAAAATTTTGAGAATTGCTTTTTTTCTAATAAAAAAATTTCTTGAATAACAAAAATTTATCATATCTTGATGAATTTTAGCATCATAACTTATCAGTTCAAATTTTTTTGCTTTTAGCTATTTTCAATTTTTGGAATTTGAAATATTTTGTAAAAATTTATGAGAGATGCAAAAAGAAAATTTTTGCAACGATTTGTCAAGTTACGCAAGAAATTCCAATATTTCAGCGGTACTGTTATAATCAATTTTAATTATTTATTTCATCTTTTTAAAAAATATATATGCAAAAGTTTAAATTATATTCTTAACTTACACTCTTGGAAATACTTTTATCACAACAACTTCCTGAATGACCATTACTCTTTGGTCTTTGTGGACAATATGTACGGCTTTTTCTTTCACGGAATATCTTAAAGCTTTGAGCTTCTTCCTCTCCCTTCCTCCATTTCTCTGCTCGTTTATTAAAATATACTTTATTTCCAAGAAAAAAATTTGTAAAATTTATGAATAAATTCAAAATAATATTCTCATTAAGCAAATAAATATCATATTAATATGATTACCGTTATTATTACTAATTTTGTCGTTTTTTATTTTTTATTAGAAATGAAAGAAATTCCATTTTTATATTTTTCTTTTTCTATTTTAAACGTTCTTCATTTGCAATTTAAATTTTTTTGTTAAATTATTGGACCGACTGTTGAAATTGACTAACGTGAATGTGAAGATGAGTTTATTTTTGTCGAACTTAATGAAATTGAAGATGTTATCAATTCCAATAAGCAATTCAGGTTGCTTTCAATTTCCTACCTTCTCATTCAACGTGAATTTTCTTCAAATATGTGGTATCTCTTGCTCGTTTACCGTAACTATTTGCAACGAACTTGTTGGATAGTTTATCACTGCAAGTACTAATACCGTAATATCTCCTTCTACAGTCTTTATTTCAAGTTGAACTTTAGCAACATTTAATGACTTTGGATTTCTATCACCAAATCGTGCGACTGTCATCCTTTCACTTTCAATTTCTACCAATTTCAATCGATTGGCTAACTTCTTCGAGATACAACTTAATCGTGCACCACTATCAAATAATGCTATGGTTCTTTCCCTTTTTGTCACGGTTATCTGTATTCACTATTTCAACTTCTTTACACACATACATATAAGTAAGACTTTGATGACCTATTTGATGCTACATCCTTATTACTGGATTGATCACTCACTCTGATTGAACATTGAACTTTGGTCATTTGTTGGTCTCACTAGTTGAATACATTCCTTATATATGATTTGACATAGTGCAGTGTATTGTGGGATCCTTTTCGTAATGAAATCGCAATTTATTTACTCAATCTCCCTTTTGAAGACAATTTAAGCAACAAGCCGTTGAACTTCTATTCAATCGTTCCATTCGTTCTACTGCTATGGGATTAAAGTATTACACATTTCGATCCTTAACGCATAAAACGCATGGTCTCCTCTTCTTGCTAACTAACGTCTTTTGCGCTCGTATTTCCATTGTTCTTGCGCGGTTCAGGTATGATTACGGATAATGCTCACGTTTCGTTCCATGTATATCGTTGCTCTTCTTCATTGCTTTTTTTTTTTTCTTTTTTTGTTTTGTTCCCTTTCTGTATTGATGGAATGGAACTTCTTGTTACTTACTTCTTCACTCATGTTTGTTTTTGGTAACTGACCACGGTTCCTTTTTTTCTTCCGTTTGTTCATATAATTTATCTAGTAGGATCCAGGCTGATAATTTCTTTTCAATTATGTATTCAATACTGGCCTGTTCTAGATTTTTACCCATAGCTTTCAATTGTCGTCGAAGTGTTCTTTCAATAGCTTTAACTGTTGCATTCCATTCTCGTTCAACTTTTTTTGATGGAATATAGCGATTTTTTGATTAATTGGATTTGTCCAAATTTTTGAGCAAGAACATTTTCTAATGACGTCATAGTTTTCTGGCGTTATTTCATTAATCCCTTATCGTTTGTAATGCTTCTGCTTTGAGGCATGCGAACAGATAGTTTAATTTTTGTATATCTGGAATGTTTTGCAAATGTACTGCGGTCTCAAAATTACTCCAGAATTCTCTCCATAATTTGATATT